ATCATCATCACCACCACCATCATCATCACCATAGTCACCATCCATCATCACACCATAATCATCACCATCACCACCATCATCACCATAGTCACCATCCATCATCATCACCACCACCATCATCATCATCACCATAGTCACCATCCATCATCACACCATAATCATCACCATTACAGCCACTCTTACTGAAAATCTGCCGTGTGCCAGGCATGCCATATGTTTGCTTTCTATTTTAAGCCTCTTAGCAACCCTGCAAGCTGGGTATAATTATCTCCATATTACAGAGGAGGGATTTTATGAAACCCAGACTGCCACGGCTCCCTGCATTGCAACTCTACCTAGAGGCTGCTTCTTAGTGCCTTTCCCTGACTCCCATCCTGACCCAAAAGCACTGTGTCCCCACAGCTGGGACAGTCTATTTCTCAATGTTTCTCCCCAGAGTGCCCTGTACGGCACCCCTTTCTGCTTGAAGTTGCAGAGCGGTTTCTCTTGTTGGCCCTGAGCCTGGCCTCACACAGCCATACACATCTCATGTATGTAGAAATTGAAAGTGGACACAGCGAGGAGGCCAGCACACCAGTGACTTGGGGAGGACAGGACTTCAGGTTAGGTACCATTGCCGGGTGCGCCAGACAAAGGCTCAGGGATCTCCATCCCTCCCTCCATTCCTCTCGGACAGGTCATCACGAGGACGCTAGTGTGTACGGAGCTATGCATCTCTGAATCACACTGAGAGGCCGAATGGACCGGCTTCTCTTAGTACATCAGTGAGATGCCTCAACGGCTGAGGCGGGACTGAGGGAAAAGGTTAAAGGTCACACTAGCATCCCAGGGAAGGGGCACGAGGGATTAATGAAGCTGGATCCCAGAACACTTGCTGACTCCCAACTGGACATGCTGTCCAGGGGCTATGGGGCCACCAAGCACCAGTCTGTGACCCTCTGTGATGGCCCCTGGCACATAATGCAAGGCAGGGTGTCCAAAACAGGAGATGCCACCAAAGGCACTCTACCCCTGCTGCCACAGAGGGACAGATGGGTGGAGCTGGACAGCAGTAGGCTGGCCCTGGAGGTCCCAGGACCCTGGAGAGGGGACAGCTCTCACTCCCTGACGGGGCCTCCCTGGCACGCTAGGAGGAAGACACTCAGCCCTGGAGTGGGGAGTCTGTCCTTACCTTACTTCTGGTGAGAGGACAGATGCAGCCTTCTATGCCTGGCTGGGCCTGGCAAACTGGGGCCCACAGGCTAACCTGAACCGCTGCCTGTTTTATAAATAAAGTTTTATTGGCGTACAGCCACACATTAATCTGCATATCACCTGTGGTTAAGTTCACACTGCAGCGGCAGAGTTGAGTAGCTGTGAAGAAGTCCACGTGGTCTGAAAAGCCAGAATATTTACTAAATGACTCTTTACAGAAAAAGTCTGCTGGACCCTCTAACCTAAGGCAGGAGCGGAGGGGTTTTCCTGAGAGCCCCGGGCAGCTCTGGGCCCTCCTACAGTCATCAGCCGAGGGTGGGGACAAATCTGGAGGAGGCAGAGTGACACCAGTCAAACCCAGCACCATGAATAACTCGGAATTCAGATTCCCAACACGTCTTGACATTTTCTAACAGAAAGGTTACGTGTTCAAAGACCATCTTGTCCACCATTATTTCAAGAGACAGAAAACACGGTTTTCTGGGTTTGGTTTTGTTTTTTTTTCATGATAAAATCTACTGGGGACAATTAAGGAATGCTTTTCCCCTCTAAGGCAATAATTAAGAAGCACACGTTGGCACAGATGTTTTACCAACCAAAGCCAAGGTTCATGATGCGTGTTTTTCTAGTGCGGCCAAGCAAGATCTCTCCGTGCTCATAAAGCCATTCCAACATCCAAATGCCTTGGAACACCTAGGGCCCCAGCTGCGTGCAAATCCCATCAGTATGCTTTCATTGAGGAGCTGGCCAGCAGCTCTCAGAATACTCCTTGGAGTCAAACTGAAATTCTTCCCCAACCTCATCTGGCTGAGCTGCTCTCCTGTGCCAGGAGCAGGGGACACACTGAAAGATGGTGGTTTACGCCCCTGAGAAGGTGAGCCCAAGCGGGGAGGGGATGCCCGTAGGGAAGACAGGTAAGGCCTAATAACGACCTGATCCTGGGCAGTTCACCCTGGCTGTACTGCAAAGGGCTACAGAGTAAAAAGTACAACTAACTCTATCAGGGGCTCATCAAGAAAAGGCTTGACTGAGGGCAGGATATCTCGGTTGGGTTTTGAAGGATGCATAGGAGTTTTCTAGGGCAAAGAATCTAGGAGGTTTCAATAGCTAGAAGCAAAGTGGGATTACAGAGTGGCTGGAGGGGCCTGGGATGGAGTAGTCATGGAGTGAGCAGGGAAAGGACTTGGGTGTAGGCAAAGGCTGGAGATTTCACTCAAAAAGATGGAATCATTGCTTTGGATTGGATGGCAGAGAGAGGATAAGCAGAGTGCACACAGCTTAGGGGCCCCCAGCAGTCACCCTAATCCATGATTTCCCCTCTGTTCCTCTAGGTGGTAGACCCCCCCACCCCTATTTTGCTCAGCTGCTCTGTGGAGTGTCCACACCTCCCTGCTCCACACCTTAAGTTCCCTGAAATCAGAGAAAGAGAAGAATAAAAGAAGAAAGGACAGAGGAGCCCTTACTAGTGATATCCAGGAACTATCTTGACTTCAGGCACCAAGGAAACTAACGCCACCCCCTGAAGCAGTGCCCCAACCCATCTCCGGGGAGCCAGCCCCTTCCCACACCCCTCCACGTGCCCCCCTGCCGACTTCTGGCCTCCCCCTGCCTCCCGGCAGGACCAGAGGCTCTCAGCTTCACTCCTCACACGGTAGCCCAGTGGTCACACTGCACGGGGTGTGTGCCCCGTCATTTAGGAGGCATGCCTGGGGGCAGGAGTCGCATCCCACCCCTGCTGCTTCCCGAGCACACTCACTCCCAGCTCGCCTTGGTTTTCAGTCCATCTCACACAGAAGACTGTGGGTTTTGTACAAATTGTTCTCATCGAGGCTTCACTTGTGGGTGTGTCCCCAAAAGTAGTGAGAGCGGGGTCCTGAAGAAAGATTTGCACGTTCACGGCATCACTATTCACAACAGCCAAGAGGTGGAGGCGACCCATGTCCCCTGACAGATGAACGGACAAAATGTGGTCCATCCACACAATGGAAGATTACTCAGCCTTAAAAAGGAAGGAAATTCTGTCACAGGCTACAACGTGCATAAACCTTGAGGACATGATGCTCAGTGAAATAAGCCAGACACAAAAAGATAAATACTGCGTGATTCCACTCCCATGAGGTCCCTAGAGGAGTCAAATCCACAGAGACAGAAAGTAGCTGGTGGGGGCCAGGGGCTGGGGAGGGCGTGGGGAGTGAACGTTTAGTGGGGACAGAGTGTCAGTTTGGGAGGATGGAAAGTTCCGGAGAGGGATGGAGGGGATGGTCATACAATAATGCACTGAACTGCATGCTTAAAAACAGTTAAGACAGTCAAATCTTCGTTATGTTTTACATATTTATCCACAATTAAAAAGGAATTGAAAAGAAAAAGCCCACTGGGGACACGTTTGTACATGTAGTGATGTAAGGCTTGCCTCTGTTTCATGGTGGTCCTGTTGGGGTCTGGTGGGGCACCATAACTGTCCTGGGGGCTCTGTCAGCCACACCCTTCCCCATTTCATGGCTCCACCCCGCACCCCCCCCAGGCCCCAGTAGAGACCCCCTGTGGGGTACGTGTGACACCATAACCGCAGAGTCTGCACCCTCAGCCATGGGGGTTTCGATGCCCATCTCTGACTGTACCAGCTGTGCCCCAGGACCCTCCCTTCACTTCCTGTGGCTCAGTTTTCTTCTCTACAACAGGGATAACCACTCTCAAAGAAGCAGGTGAGTACCACTCCCCGCTCTGCACTGAGTGTGTCTCCCCAGATCCCTACGTTGAAGCCCTAACCTCCCAACGTGACTGTATCTGGAGATGGGTCTTCAGGAGGTGATTAGGTTAAATGAGGTCATGAGGGTGGGGCCCCGATCTGATAGGATTAGTGTCCTTAGAAGAAGAGACACCAGTGCTCGTTCTCTCTCTCCACATGTAAGGACACAGTGAGAGGAGTCGTGCAAACCCAAACCAGGAAGACGACCTTCTCCTGGAACCAAGCAGGCTGGCACCTTGATCTGGGACGTCCAACCAGGACTGTGAGAAATAAACGTCTGCTGTTTAAGCCGCCCCATCTGTGGGACTTTGTGCCGGCAGCTGGAGCTGGATATCCACCTGCAAAGCACTCAGCACAGCCCTGGCCCCGGTGCCCACGCGGTTATGGAGGGTGTGGCGCAGCTGCCCTGCTCACTGACCTGGTTGTAGAGGGCGCAGATGTGCAGGGCAGTGTTCCCCGAGGCGTTCTGGGCCCCCATGTCAGCCCCGTAGAAGAGCAGGTGCTCCAGGTGCTGCACGTGTCCGTACCTGCAGGCCTGAAATGAGAGTCCACGCTGTGAACCGGGAGCTGCCCGGGACACACCGGGCGCCCCCAGAACCAACGGTGTGGCCAACACAGCCCAGCCCCCATTCTGGACCAGGTCCCACACCTCAGACCCCTGGGGAATCAGGAGAAGGAGCTCGTATTGGGTTTGAAGACTGTGCTCAGCTGTTCGACGGGGGGGGTGGGGTCTGCAAAGGGGCCCCTGTTCCTTCCACTCAGTCCTGAGGCCCGGGAAGCCCAGAGAGACCAGGGCATGTCTTTGCACCCGGCCTTAGCGACCAGGAAATGCAGACCAGGTCCCAGGTGTTGTTTATCCAAGCTCCCCACCCCGGAGGAGGCGTGAAAACAGCCGGGAGCGGTGCATGGACCGGGCTGTGTCCTGGGAAGAGATCCCGCCCGTCCTCTTCAAGGCAAGGGGCAGCCCCACCCTTTCCTGAGCCCTTCTAGGAGGTGACGTGTGATTTATGAGCCAACAGGGCTCTGGGGTCAACCAGATCTGGCCTCGTTTTCCAGAACTTTCACTGAGCCTCTGTCTTCATGTGTAAATGGAAACTCTACTCTTCCCAGGGTTCTCATGAGAGTCACATGAATAAGGGGCCTGAAAGGACCCCCAATGATGCTCAGGGACAGGCCAGCTGCCCCCCACCCCTTGCAGCTCACAGGGAGCAGGGAGGGCCCCGTACTGTGACCAAGGGGCTGCCGTCCAGGTCCAGCAGAGGGTCCAGCGCATGCCGCTCGATGCTGGAGCAACCCTTGACCTTGGGAAGCAAGTCATATCCGACTAACCCCACCCCATCCACCGGCACTTCCTGGGCACCCAGCGATGGGCAGTGCCAAGGGTGTAAGACCCACTGTCCCTCTGGTGGGGTGACAACCGGATAGGGAGACGTGAAAGGCAGGAAGCGGGGGTTCTGATCCAGAACCGCTCACACCGAGGGTGGGGAAGCGCCCGGCGGGGAGACGGCCGGCCAGGCCAGGACAGGCAGCTGCGGGTGGTTTGGGTTGGGCTGCATGGTAGCCAGAGGAAGAAGGGCTCAGTAATCCTGCCTTTCCGATAACTGAGACAGATGGAGGGGCATTTCACCTCTGCATGGCCCACGACAAAGAGCTACACCTCGCCAATTAATAGAGAGGAGAGATGACAGGAAAGACACGGGGACTAGTAATTGGACGAGCTTTAAAAAAAAACCCTGAGAAACACCCACTTACAACCCCTGCTGCCCGTAATATCATCTCATCCGTTTACAGAGCAGATCGTTCCCGAAGATACGGCTTTTCCCTGCCCACCCGCGCCTTCCCTTCTTGTGGCAGCAGCGCCTGCCTCTTCCTCTGGGGGCCACCCGACCCCACTCCCAGAGGTCTGGGGGCCTGCCCCACCCCCCATGCCTGCAGCGGACACAGAACAATCTATCTTCCGGCCACAGGCGTGGGCTGGGGATGCCCAAGTGACTCTCGGGGGCCTGTGAAGACGAGACTGGAACATTTGTCAGAACCACTGAGAAAATGAAGTTCTCTCTTTCCTCCAAGGTGGCCAGCAAAAAAGCCACAGAAGCCGGAGCTGCTGGGGCCACCAGTGCAGAGGAAGGGAGAAGTGGGAGCTAAAGGAAGGAGAGAGAAAACAAGACACACACACACACACACACACGCACGCACGCACGCACGCACGCACGGCCAAGCAACAGATGCCCTGTGGACCCCTCTCAGCTACAACTGGGCCTGGGTTTTTCAGGATGTAAGCCTAGGCATAATTTTAATTTTCCCCTTAAGCCAGTTTGAGTTGGGATTTTTGTTCCTCAAATTGGAGGAGCCCTGGCTAATCAACTCTCTCCAAAGAACTTCCAGGAGGCAAGACTGTGTTGTGACATAATTGAATTGTCCTGTAGTCAAAAACAAAGAGAGTTAGCTTAAAAAACATCTTTACAATCACTCCAGACTCACCCTTCCTCTTCCCCAGGTTCATCTGAAATTGTGGGTTTTACATTACATCATCGGGATGGCGTTCACGTTCTCCCCACCAAGGGTTACAATAGGATCAATGCAAAAAGGTAAACTAGAGCCTTTTACTCCGGGCTGACTGTCAGGGAGAGAATCCCCCTCAAGGGCCTCTTTCTCCAAGCCTATTGTTTGAAAACAAGCGAAACCAGAAACATCAGACAAGTGCTGAAACAAAAAAATCTCCTGTAATCCCCCAGTCTTAAATTCTACCATTCGCTTCTTTAAAGGATCTCCTTTGCACGTCTCTTCTTTTAAACCACCGGCTGTTGCGTGATAGAAGCCATACCTGCTGAGGAAGCAGCCTCGCAGACGGGGAAGGGGGAAGGGAATCTGAGCAAGGTGCTGGCCAGACGAGTCAGCAGACGGGCTGCATTCAGGGGGGCTGAGCAACAGGTAAATGCATGGAGGAAAATGGGAGCAGGTTTCCCACCGTCAAAGAAAGGGAGTTACTAATCCAGCGTGGGAGAAAACCAGAATAAACTCTGTGGTACTGGACAGGAACAAGAGCTATCAGTATAAGCACATGGTTTTCAATATAGAGAAAAGCAAAAAAGTAAATGTGTAGGAACACGTGGACGTGCGAGGACGTGTGTCCCTAACTCCCCCTCCTGAGAGCGGCTGGGATCAGCAAAAGCCCGGTAGCAGTGAGCACACTTAATACTCGGATCTTGCGTTCTAAATACCACTCTATACGGTAAGTCCCCCTACACATGAACAAGGTCAGTTCTGAGAGGGCATTCGTAAGTCCAATTTGTTCTTAAGTGCAACAAAGTGAGCCTAGGTTGCAGATAACGCCAGACACGGGAACGAAGTTATGTGACTGGACATGCGGACACACATTCTCATCTTCGAAAGCTTGCAACTTGAAGGTTCGTATGTAAAGGACTTACTGAACTCAGAAGAAAGCACAAGGGCTTCTTACAGAGATGGCCTATTCCAGGGCTGAGGCAGGAAAAGAACGAGATGAGCCTGGAATACCTTGTGGAACCAGAAGGTAAGGAAGTGCGCCAGAAAGGATGGGGGTGTGTCCACAGGACACACAGGCCACCTTGATGCGGCTCCCTGGACCCAAAGTGGGACAACATTAACAGATGGTTACCTGTTGAATAAATAGACACCCACCCAACCACATTGCTACAAATAAGTGAATAAATAAACAAGAAGAGAAAGCTCTTCCTGATGACAGGAAGCCAACGAATTAGTGTGAGAAGCAAGGATGGGAGTAGAAAATCTCCATTTAGATTTAGAGAATCTCCAATGAATTACTTAATTCAGACAAGAAATACCATTGGGTGCTAAAAACCAGCAGGAGAGAGGGAGATGAGAAAAGGGGTTTTCTAAAATAGTCTAAAGGTCCCACAAAATACTAACTTCAAAGGGAAGAGAAAACTAGGGTGGAGAACCTGGCAGATTCCCCGTGATCAGGGGGTCAGAGTGAACATTACCAACAACAGCAAATGGTCACCACCTGCCACGTAACAGGACTGCCAGAAACACACGTCCCTTCCATGACATTCCTGCAAACATGCACATCTTGCATCTCATCACGAGGAAACACTGAGCAAACCCAAACTGGGAGACAGTCTCCAAAATGACTACCCCATAATCTTCAAAAGAGTCCCTTGAGAGAATCTAGGGAAGACTTATGAAGTCTCCCAGATGGAAGGGCTCCTGCGGGATCCCGGACTGGATCCTTTGGAAAAACTCAAATGTGGTCTCTGAATGAAGGGAATATGGGAGAACTCTGTGTTGCTTTTGCAACTCCTCTTAAAGTTTGAAATTAAATACTCATTCACAGTTAAAAAGAAGAAATGAGTGCTTGCTTGACATAAGGACCTCAAAGCTTATCAAAGTAAGAATTTGTCCTCCCCCAAGATAAGCCGTGCTAACCCTCTGTCCTTTTTCTGAAAACGGTGTTGTCCTCTCTGGCCCTTGGGAGACAGATTAAAAGGATGGACAGAGGTCAGAGAGGAACTAGAATGTAAAACAAAACAGCACCTCTTACACTCACATTGCTTACCCATTTTTTTCTGAGATGCTTTATGGAAAATGCATGTGTGTGTGGGGCTCCACCCCACATCTCCTGCCTGCAAATCTCCCGGGCACGAGTATTTGGCGTAGACTCCCCACAAGATCTGGGATTTGGGATTCACCGACCTGTGCTGGGCATCCCCCCCAAACACATAATTTGGTGTAAATTAGGGAAGAGTGCTCCTTCCTTCAAGCACTTCACTGCCACCTGCTGGACACCTGTTGTGATAATCTACAAGCCTACATTTACAGCAAGTGTCACAGCGCCCCCTGGGGTTGTGCAATGCAACTGGAGCAACGAGGAGTTCACTGCATTGCAAATGCTCTGCTTGGTTCAGTGCCACAGGCAAAATTATTTAAGTCCACATCACACTTAGGCTTTCCTCCTATAATACGTACTTTATAAGACAAGCTGGAGATAGGACAGCAGAACAGTTAGCAGGCAGTAAGCACCCACACAGAGACCCAGGACCACACCACGAGGGAACCTCCCCAGGGGCCTGTCCCTTACTGTGGGGTCAGGGGAAGCGCCAAGGACTTGGAGCCCAGGGCTGAGGGTGAGCAGGGGTGAGCTCAGCGAGGAAGAGGGACAGGAGGGAGTAGCGGCCAAAAACGGTGATTTCCTTACAGTTAAAACTCCTCACTTGAAAATGGTAAATAATAAATAGCAACCAATAACAAAGGTAAGGCCAAATGATAAAGCATCCTTGACAGAATCATTGCAGGAATCAAATGAGACCTGTGTGAAGGCCCGTGAGCGAATCGGTTAAGTGCTCTCTGACTGCCAAGTATCATTCCTCACAGAGGAAACCAGACATGGCCTGATGACAGTGATAAGGATGACAGTGATGGGGGCGTGGTCAGATGATAAGGACCATGATGGCGATGGGGGCGTGGCCAGATGATAATGCTGACAATGATGGTTTTGATGGGGGCGTGGCCAGCACTTACTGAGCACTTACTAGATGCCAGGCGCTATAGTCAATGCATCATTTAACTGTCTTGACAGCTCTATGAATTGTTACTCAGCCAGCTTTAGAGATTAGCAAAGAAGCTCAGAGAGGGTAAGCCACTTGCTCAGGTGACCCAGGCCATGTTGAGGGGGTTTTGCAATCCCAGCCCAGAATATACGCTACCGACAGCACAAGGAGGAAATCTCACTTATCCTCCAAATGGAATCGACAGACTCAGGGAAGGAGGAAGGGAGCGAGACGCCCCATGTGGGCCAGTCCTGTGGGCATAGCTGCCCACAAAGGTGTGTGGAAACACGAGACCAAGCAGCTGTCCTCTCACTGGGGACGGCGTCCTCTTCAGGAACCTTGGCTTCGCCAGCAACTCTTCCTCAAGTCCTGAGACAGCCAAACCCCCCTCCTCCCTTTGGTCGGAGCTAGGTGCCGGGCACTGCCCCAATGGATGTGAAAGTACTTAGCAACTAAAACTTCAGTGAAGCCCCCGTAATCTGGCCCACCATGTTCTGGGAATGCATTTGGGTGTTTTTTACTTCCTTCTTTATGTTTCTTCGTAGTTTTAAAGACTTGCATGTTGAGCAGATATGTCTTTTGTAATGAAAAAAATTAGAGTAACCTGAATAACAAGTTGAAAGATGGTTTGCAGACAGGTCAAAAAAGTTCTCTTCCAAAGTCAGCATTCAGGGGGACGGGCGTCCCCAGTCGCGGGGCCTGGGGGCTGGATGTGAAGACCTCCCTTTGCAGTTAAACACCTGCCCCGGGCAACACCCCGGAAAGCCACGCAAGCATTCTGCAACACCTGTGAGCAGGTCAGGTTGCGGGCACTCAGGTGCCCTGGAAGGATGGGGAGCCAGCCGGCTGGGAAGGAGCTGTCGGCTGCCATGCAGAGGGAGTTGTGGACCCCAGAACTCTGAGGTGCTTCTCCAAGACAGCAGGGCTAGAATCAGTCCAGCTGGGCGATGCAAACCCACCTGCCCTCCACTTCCTTCTGCCACAAGTGCCTTGTCATTAGAGGGGTGGCTTCTGTCTGAGAGCCCTGGAGGCCGGACAAAGAAGCAGGCTTCTGGCAGGGAGCCCCGCTGGGAGCCTCGGGCTGGTCACTCACCCTCTCTGGGCCCGGCTAACTCAGAGACCAGCGAGGGTGTCTGCGAGGGCTGCTGGAGGGGTGTGAAAAGATGGAGAGGACAGCGTTTGCTGGGTGAACGTGAGCCCTGACGGAGGAAGATAATCCGGGGGCGGGGGGACGGCAGTATGCGAGGTTCCTCGCTGAGCATCCTGCACGATGCCCTCCTGACGGTCACGCCAGAGCAGGTGAAGACAGCGGCTTGGATAACACAGGTGCTTCCGCAGGACTTGCGCGAAAAAGAAACCCGCCACTAGAGGGCGGTGGACGGACCCTGACGGGTGACGCGGGATAGCGGAGCAGGATGGGACAACTGGGCTGAAGGCCTCCAAGCTCCAAAGGCGCTGCCAGGGGCGGGGACCCCGGAGGTTGGGTAGCTCTGGTGCTGGATGCTCGGAATCCACGCGGGGGTGTCAGGGGCTGGAATCATGGCAGGGAGCCGGCACCGGAGAAAGTGACCCCCACTGCCCCAACACGCACGGTCACCCTCCGTCTCAGGGCAGCCGTCCCAAGAGACAAGAGAGATGGCCACGACTGTCACGTGTATTCGATGAGGGCGTGAGTCTCAGCGGGAGGCCAACGCAGCACGGAGTGGGGGGAAACATTAGCCTGGTTGAGGGGGGAGGGGAGAACAGGTAGGAAGGGGGGCGAGGGGAGGAAAGAAGAGCTCTCCAAGGTCTCCCCAAGGTCGTCGGGGCACGGAGCCCCCCGTGAGGGGTCACTCAGCTGGACTTGGGCTGAACGCACTCCGCTGCCCCGTGTTCTGTGTTTCTGATGCTCCGGCACCAGGGGTCTTGCTGGCTGCTCCCCTGAAGGGGCTGCCCTGCCAGGAAGAGCTGGAGATGGAAGCCGGAGATGGAAGAGGACTCAGCCGTGAGCCCAGCTTCCAAATACAAACCACCGTGCAGAGTCCTCACCTGAGCCCTCCTCTCTGGGCCCCTCACCCCTGTCCTAAGCACCCAGGGCAGGTCCCAGACAACAGGGCGGCCCCCGTGCCCCAGGGCCACTGAGCTCACTCAGCCTGCTTGTCATGCCTCACCTGCTCCCTCCCTCGAAAACCACAGTAACGGCTCTGCGCGCACAACCCCCCGCCTTCCCCGCGTGGCCGTGCGTGGTGGGCTGTGCCCCTCTTCTTGCGGTCAGTAACAAGCCATTCTCACTGGCAGGTACCTCCCGATGGGATGGCCTCACCAGGCCTGAATAGTAGAAGAACCTACAGTTAACAGAGGGGCTTAGGAGCAGAAGCCTGGCAGATGGAAATACAGGGTCCTTGAGGACCCCCAGGGCTGCTCACGCCAACAGGGCTAGGACCCCCGCTTCGGAGTCGCTGGTGGAGCCTGAAACTCTCCTCTTTCACACCCTCAGTGGGTCCACGTGTGACGATGGGCTTGGCCTTTTAAAGGTCACCACGGAGCTGACGGCCAAGTGCAGCTATGAGCGGAGACGAGCAGAGGGACAGAGCACTGCCCACACCTTGGGGACCCCCGTCCTGCCCCAGCCTGGTCACCGTGTGAACCATCTCGGGGAGATGTGAAGCACTGCCGGGCCTGCGCCACATGTGGGCACAGACGTGTGTGTGTGCGTGTGAGCACGTGTGGGTCTGTAATCTTTGTTCACATCCATTTGTCTCGCTGTCCCCACCCCCCGCCACGGGGACGTAAGACCCACAGGACTGGGTGTTTCTGTTCACCGCTGGGTTCGGTGTCCAGGACGCTGAGCGGGCCTGGCGGGTGACATGTGTGCCAGTGGGTGGGCGTGGGCCTGCCGTGTGGCTGCAACGCCCGGGGCTTTGGCTGAGTGGCTCAGAACACCACGAAGCGTGAGCAGTTATGGGTCTAGGCCCCAGGCCCAGCGCGGTCTCCAGCACTCACTTGCTTTGCTGAGTTAAAGGAGGCAGATCCCTGGAGCACGGCCCATTCCTGGGGGGGGTGGCAGACGCCCCCCGGTTGGCAAGGCCGCCAGTCGAGGTGGCCGGTGGTGGAGGCGTCCTGAGCCTCTGCCCCTGCCCTTCAGCTCTGCCCTCCGCCCCCAGCCTCAGGCCCTCGCGGCCTCGCTCCCCGCATAACTGACCCTTCCATCCGCCGAGAGGCACGCGCGCCTCCTCTCAGGCTGAGCGGCATCTCCGCAGGGCCCACACCTCCCCTGGGAACGCGGTGGTTTCATAAGACAAATCTGAACCCAAACGAAGACAGCATCACAGAACTTGAGATCTACCGAGCAGGAAACCTCGGGGACGCAGAGTCTTCACTCCACCCCAAGCCCTTCTGCTCCGTTTCCACGTCTTCGGAAGGATGCAAGCTGTGCGACACTGAGACCCTCAGCGTGAGACTCACATCCCTACTCCTTTGCCTCTTCCAGGCCCAGGGGGCACCTTCAGTGCCTGGGTGTGTGAGGGCAGGCCCAGCCCTTCTGCCCAGGCTGGCAGTGCCCACTGGGAGCTCCACTGCCGGGACCACGGCCTCCAGCCTGATGCTCAGATGCCAAGTGACAACCCTGCTGGGGGAGGGGCAACTCCTCCCAGCACCTTCTTCAGTGAAGCCCTGGAGACCTGGAACCGGTCACTGGCGAGGTCCACGCTGGGCCCTCCGTCCCCCGTGTGCCCTGAGCAGCTCATCCCCTGCCCCCCGCACGTAAGAAGCCAACAGTACCGACGCCATCCACTGCCCAGCACCACTGTGGGTGACAAACAGAGCAACGCGGGCCCTGGGGTTGTGCGCAGCCCTGGCTGGGGAGCTGGGGGCCCAGGATGTGACACTCCAGGCAGAAGCAACGGCTTCAGCCCAGAGGCCAAAGCAGGAAGGCTGGACTTATCTGGAAAACATTGGGTCTTGCTAACATTCCGTCCTCTCTGTGGCCCGAGGGTGTGGGAGGCCCTGCTGATGCCCACTTTACAGATGAGCAAACAGAGGCCCAGCGGGCAGGCAGGCATCACTGCCCCTCCGAGGTCCCGCCCAGGGTGTGGGCTCGGGGGGCTCCTGTGAGCAGCTTCGCAGAAGTTCCCCCCTCCCCCAGCACAGCCCCGTCACACCACTGGAGGAAACTGGATGCTTCTCCAGGCTGCGGGGACGCTGATGAACCGGAACTGAGCATTAGAAAGCCCAGGCGGGGGAGGCGGTGGGGGTGGGGGCGGGGGCAGCCGGGTCCTCTGACCACAGTGGGCGGGTACGTGACCCTGCTCAGATGGGCGGGTGTTTAAGGTGACGGCGGTGGAGGGAAACAGGCAGCCTGAGAAGCACTGAAACTCACTGCAACGTAAAGGCCGAGCGAGAGAAGTCAGAGCCTCTTCCTTGACCTCCTGGACGGGCTCTCCCCTTGACCTCCTGTGCGGATATTCCCCCTCTGCTTTCCCAAACCCACTGTCCACCCTTCTCCACCCGGAGACCCTGACCTCCAGGCCTGCACCACTAGGCTCCGTGATTGGCCTGCTCTGGCGGGGCTCAGCCAATGGGAGGGCGGGAGGATGGAGCAGCCGTGGTACTTCTTCCCCGCATCCCTCCGCGACACGGCTCCCGCCGGGTGTCCTCCTCCTCGGCCCGCTGTCCCCGCTTCCGGAGACACGGTCTCCTCTCCTTGCCCTCGGTCCACTAAAGACTCTTCATCGGAGCCACCAGGTGGATCAGTTTCTGCCACGACTACAAGCCGACATTCCCCCAACTCCACTGCTGCAGGTGGGATCTGGGAAGTGCGCCCTGTGCTGGGGCACCTGTGCACAGAAAGCACCTGCAGGCTCTATCGGGGGCGCCCACGGCTCCCACGGAGGGGGCGTTCACCCAGCACCCCAGCCCCGCCCGTCGGGAGAGCAGGTGAGGGGCGAGCCCCACGCACCTGGTGGATCTCGTGCCAGCCGTTCTCGTCCTTGCAGCTCACGGCCGCGTGCTCGTGCAGCAGCAGCTCGCAGCAGCAGGGGTCGCCCCCGACCACCGCAGTGTGATACAGCGGCGTGAGGCCGTAGCTGTCCTTGTAATCCGGGGATGCGCCAAGCTCCAACAGGGTCTGGAAAAAACACCAACGTGTGGTCACTGGTCTCACACCCCCTTCACAGGAGTGAATCGGTCAAGAAGGAAGAGGAAGGTCACGCTCCCCCGGGCCAGGGTGACGGAGCCCTCGGTTCCCGAGCTTCTCCTGGCCTCCCGGAATTAAGGAGGCCCCAGCTTAGACGACGAAGTTTCTGGCCCTAAAGGAGCACTTGGTGCCAGGCGCGCACACGTGCTTCCACATCCGGGAGACGGGGAGGCCTTCTGCACACGTGGCCCGCTGGGCACTACCTGCTTGAGCCCGGCTGGGCCCTGTGGACCAGCGGACAGCAACGAGGGGAAGGTGACATTTGCAGGAAAAAGGTGTGAACCTGAAAGTCCAGTGTAACCCATCTCCGTGCACGTCCTGCAGCTGGCAAAACTAGCAAGCATTGCCACTTGATTTCCGAGGAAGCCAGCTGACGAGTGTGCAGCTGCTGTGTGGTTAAGAAGTCTGCTTTGCAGAAAAGCACCATCTTGGGGGTCGTCACCCCACAGCTGTGGGTCCCCTCCCCTCTGCGCCAGGGCCCTGATAGAGCATGGGCTGGGGGCATGCGCCCTGTGCCCGCAGGCACAGAGCCAGGGCCGGTAGAGCATGCTCGAAGAACAGTGCGGGGAGGAAAACGGGGGTGAGGTCCGCCCTCCCCCCTCCCTCGGCATCAGCTTCCAATGTCTGGGGGGGCTCTGGCAGCAGCGAGGCTGGCTCGGTGGCGGAGGGCTGGCTTTGCAGCGCCCTCCCGTGGAGGGAGGTGGGTTTGAGCTGAGAATACGAGCCCTTTGGCGGAATCAGAAGGCGAAAGATAACTTTCTGCTCACAGATTCTATAATAAAAGCAACCACACCAAGGGCGGGGGGGGGCAGGAGGGCCAGACCCCACTTCTGAGCTCTAGTCGGACACAATTTGGGTCACCGCAGGTGGCTGTCGTGGGATGGGGAGTGGGGCAGGGCCTACCCAGGGGATCAGAGGAGGGGGCGTCACCGTGTGAGACGGGCCCCGCCTGTACCTTCAAGGCCAGCAGGCTCCTGGCGCGGGCGGCTTTGTGCAGGGCCGTCATCCCGTCTTTGGCGCGGAAGTCCAGGTGGGCCCCGCCGTTTCGGAGAGCTTTGATCACCTCCACGGGGTCGTCCAGCTGCGCGGCTAAGGTCAGGGGAGTCTCTAGGGACCCAAACACATGCATGTCAGAACCGGCACTTGGGGCAAGGCTGCCAAGTCACGTGACCCCGTTAACCAAGTTCAAACGTCCCAAAGTGAGCCTGACAGACTGACCCGCCAGGGCGTCACGGCTCCCACCCACCTGCCGACCCCAAACGTCCGTGCACTCAGCATGGCTCTGGCAACCCTAGTGACGATGGCGGTGACTCTCGGGGTCACGGGCAAATCACAACGGGGGCAGAGGCAGGGTTCCACATCATCGCCTTGTGGGCTCTGAGTCTGAGAAGCTGCCCCGACTGCCTCTGCCCTCGGTACACAGAATCCCGCAGCCCCAGCCGACGCTGCCCCGTAGGAGGAGGGGTCAGTCAGGGCTGCAGCTAAAGACTGGAAAGGCAGATGCCCGCCTTTCTTCATTTCAACTTCACAGCATCTATGGGTATCTTGGTAGATGCCAGGGACTGAGCTGCAGGGAAACAAGTGAGTAAGACATAGGGTCGTGCCCTGCAGGGGTCTCCATCTGGGAAAGCAGAGAGACCCCAACAGCCATCATGATGGGACCGGACCAACGCAAGGAAGGACCAACATACAAAGTGGGGCAGAAGCCCAGGGGACCAAAGGCTGAAGCCCGCCTTGCGGCGACGAGGGTCAGGAAGGGGCTCCCACACCCCCTGCAGGTGGACCAGTCTGCAGGTGGCCATGGCCGAGGATGTCAGTCTCTGTCATCAGACGTCTCTCCTCAGTGACCCTCACGTGCCCGCCATCACCACCGCCAAGCAGAGTTCATGACTCTGATGTGGCTAATCTGAGAGGCTCTTACGTTACAGAAAAGTGCAAAGAGTAACACGACAACGTGCACGTTCCCGTGGCCCAAAACGCTAATAGTTAATAAGGAATCGTTCTGTCCTCAAGCACGTTTTGAGAGTAAAAGGACTGGGGCATCTTCCATGGGGTGGAATGCCCTTCTAACCGCCTGTCACTGACACATCACCACACCACCCTCCATCCCCAGAAAAGGCAACTTCACCACAAATCTAGATTGACGACTCCCATCCATTTTCAGTTACAACATTTATTTATCCATAAATGGGTATTGTCTGGAGGGCTCTTAAAATTCACCGTTGGAATCTCTCTGTACCTTGATTTTTCATGGTGAGTCTCGTGGGCTTACCCCGCTCCTTGAAACTCATCTGCAGCGGGTAGACACGCCCTAGAGCATATGTAAAGTGCAGCTTATGCATTCTCTCCCAAGGGAAGTGGTATGATGGTCACGAATGCCACTGACACATCCCTGCTGCGGACCTACGAGAGGCACCTTCTCACGCGGGGGTTTTTGAAAATTAGGAGTTTTGGGACTTCCCTCGTAGTCCAGTGGTTAAGGCTCCGCGCTCCCAATGCAGGGGGCCCGGATTCGACCACTGGTCAGGAAACTAAGATCCCACATACCGCAACTAAGAGTTTGCATGCCGCAACTACTGAGCCCGCGCGCTCTAGAACCCACGCACCACAACTGGAGAAGCCCACGTGCTGCAACGAAGACCCGGCACAGCCTAAATAATAAAATTAATTAATTAATTAATAAAAAATAAAAATAAGTGTTTTCTGGGACAGCTAGGGGACGCTGGTGACAGTGGGAATGTGCCCTCACAGAAATCACGCACAAGGCAAGGAGAGCGTGACGCGGTGAGGGGTGTTTGGGAATCCAGACCATCTGGGAAACGGGGGTAGAGATGTGGAAACGGGGCAGACGTGCAGAGAGAAGCACACTCAGAGAGAGACAGCAGCATCTGAGGGTCTGGGTTCCTTGCAGGGAAAAGACATCACAGGAGGGCGGTGGGCGAGGGGTGATCTGGGAAGGGCGTAAAGGACGGGGCCGTCGGGAGCTGCCAGCAACCACCCTCCAAAGCCAAGTCTCTTAGAGCAGCTCCTCAAGTCTGAGGTCAGCGCATGCGGGATGATAGCACCTAGGGCAAGGTCAACCTTCCAAACGATTCGGGCTTTTCCTTCTTATTTGGCTGTCTGCATGTGGCCAGCGGAAAAGCTAGGCGGTCCAAAGGAGATTTTTTTTGTTGTTTATACGGCACTATTTTCATAGCTGACGGCGTCAAGGTCATTTTACAATGAGAACACTGTCTCAGAGGGAGGCATTGGCAAATGGTAAAATTCCAAATCACAGACCCCTGTGGCCCGGCTGGGCAGACAGCGCTGGGCACGTAAGCAGGTGGAGAAAGCTAGACACCCGTCGGTGGCTGTGCCGTCTCCTGTACGAGCTGGGACCCAGCCCGTGGACGCCATCCAGGCACATCGAGTGGCACGTGGCAGCATCTTGAGGGTTCCAGAGACCCTCCTTGAATGACACTGCAGACCTGCCACGTTCACACCCGCCACGTTCACACCTGGCCACGACCCACGCTGGCAAGGTCAGGGGGGCCCCCAGCTTAGACCTCACGTTCAGGAAGGTTCAGGAAGGGGGCGTCCATTGAGACCCCACATGGGCGGATGGGACCACCAAGAAGATACTTGTCAATCAGCTGCTGCACTGTCCGTATAACCGGGTCACATGGGATCCTCCTCCAATGCACTTGGGAGCGGCAATTCCCTGGCACCACAGTGCTTTGAAATTTTTTCTGGTTTTGCATTTCGAAATTTTCTAAGTTTTAAAAAAATTACACAGGAACCTCCACGAATATAACCTCATCGGGGACTGAGGTCTCTCATCTTTGGAGATGACTCTGAAGGCAGAACTGCCTCCAACCTAGAAACTGCCTGCTGGCATTTTGGCTCCGGGAATGACCAGGTTGTGCTTCGAAGGGAAGGTTTTCAGGTGGGCACGAGGAGGGAGGTGTCTACGAGCACAGCAACAGCACAGACCACGGCTTGCGGTCTGTCTGGGCGTCGGGGGAGACCCGGGCAGGAGACTGTGCAGGCACAGGACAGCCGCCGACCCCTGCAGCTGGGACTGCGTACCAGCCTGGGTGCAGGGGCGCATCCGGGGGCCTCAGGAGGACCCGGGGACTAGAGCCTGGTGAGAACCTCCCGCAGAGGCAGCACAGCCCACCTCTGCTCCCGAAAGGCTGGGTGGCCTCCAGCAGGTGTCCCAAACTCTCTGGGCCTGTTTCCACACCTATATGGTCAGGGTAAAAGCAGGACCTGCGCTCCGTGGGGCTCTGTGAGGATCGAATGTCAACGTCCGATGCTGGAACAGTGCCCAGCCCACAGTCAGAGTCTGTCCGGGGGATTCAGCTAGAGATGGGCTTTATTTTCTTCATTACAGTTTTTTTCCTGTATTTTTAAAAGCCTTTATTATGTTATAATCATAAAAGTGGTTCTAAAATAAACTGTGAAGCCAATGCTTATTCTCCCCTCCCCCTCCACCTGGACAGGCACAACCCCTCGTGACTGTCTTTCTTTTCTCAGCAAGAGATGGTCTTGGTGCCCCCAGGATGCACACCAAGTGAAACATGCATTCACAGGCCTACTAAGTGCTCTGCCCTGTGCTGGGGGTGGTGGCTGTCCCGGGGCAGGGGGAACCAGGCATATCTCCTCGAGCTATTATAAGACAGATAGATACACAGACAGGTAGACAGGTAGGTGGATGGGTGGGTGGGTAGAAGTGAGGGAGGGAGAGAGGGAGAGAGAGGGAGGGAGGGAGGGAGGGAGGGAGGGAGGGAGGGAGGGGTAAAGGAAAGGCAGATAGATGGATACACAGAGATGCATACGTGCACACAGACGGATAAAAATGAGTTGAACAAAGCAACACAAGATTAATATTTGATCTCAAGGTTGTCCGAGGGAGCACAAACAGTGCACTCAATTTATCTTTGTAAATAATTAACCCATTACTGAATATAAGACCCATTACTGAATTATTCCTAATGGAGAGATTTCACCCACCCCATTCCCTGTACCCATTTGCCTCATGCAAAACGACACAGGTGGGAAAAGCCTGGCCTTGGGGCCGGAACCTTCAAGTTCGAGTCTGGGCTCAGCCGGTGACATTGACAGAAGCCTTGAACCCCACAGGGACCTCAGCCACACCTCAAAATTCCCAAGGACCCGCGAGAGGAAAGGCGGGATTCGGGGATTCCTTCCTCATTACCTAGAACAGCAGTTCTCAGACTTTGGCACGTGTGGGAATCACCCAAAGAGCTGGTTAATGCAAAGCACACTGGCTCCATTCCCAGAAACGCCTCCACAGGACTGGAGGGCTGAGAATCTGCATCTGAGAGTGACCCTGGAGGTCCAAGGGGTGCACTTTGCTAGAGGACAGCTTCACGTGCTTGACCGCACGGTGACACCACGTGCTCCCACCCCCCAGACACTAATTGAATCGGTGTGATGCGTGACCGAAGTATTAGGATGCGTACAGCTTCCCAAAGTGGTTTTTAACGTGCAGCTGAGTTTGAGAGCCTCTGCTCTAAACACCTGCTAATTCAAATGTGCTCCATGGGTAGCAGCACGTGGGCATGACCAGGAACGGGTTAGAAACGCAAAATCTCTGGTCCCACTCCAGGTCTACACAATCAGAACGGACTTTTAACAAGATTGCCAGGTCACTCATAGACATCAGGTCTGAGATACATGGACCTGGGGCACAGCTCTCCCACTTTATCACGTATGCAATCCATAAACAAGCAAACCAAGGAAAATGGTGCTGTGTCCTCCATACGGATTTATCCCTTTATTTATGAGTCATACACGACCATGGGAAAAAGAACAGTCTTTTAAACAAGTGGTGCTGGGTCAACTGGATTTCCACACGCAAAGGAATGAAGTCAGAGCTCTACCTCACGCCATATACAAAACTTATCAAAATGAATCACAGACCTAAATGTAAAAGCTAAAACTATAAAACTCATAGACGAGAACTCAGGATTAAATCCTTGTGACCTTGGGTTAGGCAACTGTTTTAGATATGACACCCAAAGCACAAACAACAAAAGAAAAAATAGATCCATTTGACGTTACCAAAATTAAAAACTTTTCTGCATCAAAGTACACTATCGAGAAAGTGGAAAGACAGCCCAC